ACTGGTACCCAAAGAGATATTGGTTGCATTTAGTCAAGATACCAGTGAGATGAAAAGAAATTAAATTAATTGTTCCAGACAGAAAATTACAGATATGTATAGAAAAGAACAGGAGTGGACATAAATGTGGGCCAAGTGCTTCCAGCATTGTACTGCCTTGTGTTATTAAGGGAAACCATAATGTTCTACTCAGAAATTTCTGGTTTATTTGCCTGTTATTGAAGGATCTACTTTTTCTAGTCCTCAACCTGATAAGTCTTGTGTGATGACTTCACAGAATCACTTGTATGACAGATGCTCCAGTCCCTTAATCATCTTAGTGGCCCTTTGCTGGACTCTCTAGTAGCTCTGTTTCTCTGTTGTACAGGGGAGACCAGAACTAGACATAGCACTCCCTGTGCTAAGTAGAGGGGAAGGATCACCTCCCTTGACCTGTTGGCCACACTCTGCCTAATACAGCCCAGGATGCCATTAGCCTTCTTGATGCAAGGGTGCATTGCTGGCTCATATTCAGCTTGGTGTCCACCAGGAGGCCCAGGTTCTTTTCTGCAGAGATGCTTTCCAGCTGGGTGACCCCCAGCATATATTGGGGCATGACTTTGCACTTCTCCTTGTTGAACTGCATGAGGTCCCTTTCAGTCCATTTCTCCAGCCTGTGGAGGTTCCACTGGACGGCAGCACAACCCTCTGGTATATCGCCCACTACTCCCAGTTTTGTCCTCTGCAACTTGCTGAAGGTATGCTCTGCCCCATCATCCAGATCATTAATGACGATGATGAGCGGGATAGGACACGGGTTTGACCACTGGGGTATACAACTAGTTACCTGCCTTTAGGTAGACTTTGTGCTGCTGATCAAAACCCTCTGAGCTTGGCTGTTCAGCCAGTTTTAAATCCACCTCACTGCCCGCTACTACTGTCTGTCTAACCACTTTCTGCTAAATAAAGTGTATCTCTAAGGAGAACTTATTATCTTGCTCCACATCTAGCCCAGGGCAATCCACAGTGTATCTTGCCTCCTTTCTCTCAGTATCTGCCTGGGTGCAGGGCTGAACACCAGCAGAATGCACTCGATGTCTGACCTTCGTCTTTTCCATCTGCCTGCGACTCCCCTTGCACAGACCTGGAATTCCCCAGAGGGGACTGTATCCCACAGTTATGAAGCGGTAGGAATTGCAAAGAACAAAAGATACTGAAAGCACATCCACAAAAGCAACACTACACACCACCAAGATAGTTACTTGTCACATGATAGCTACAATAGCTACTCTTCCTCCCAGAGGTTCATGCCATAAGCACTACTTTTCTCTAAAAATGACAAAATAAACCCAAACTGTGCTTTTTCATGATCCTTTTCCATCTCAATATCAGTAATGGTGGTAATGCTGTTGACATACAGTAAATATTTCAGGTGTGTTGTATGTAGTATACTGGTAAAGGCTTAACTTAGATCTCAGCTTCTGTGGGCAGGTACACAGCTGTGAAAGAATCTCTTGTGCGTCACAGCGGCTACTCTGTGTGCAGCTACTGCTTGGGAAATATTTTTTTTTTAAATTGTGTAAGGGAAGCAAGATGACTGGACCTTTGGCAGGTAGGAGAGCTACAAACATACCCACTGCTAGGCAAGAAGCTCATACACTTATGAGTGTGCACAAAGTCCCTTTGCCTGTCAAAGCCAACCTGAGCCTTGTCCTGGATTTATGCTACCTTCCACAGTTAATCGGTCTGGATTAACAGCACAAGCGCTGAGTATTCTTCATTATCAGAATGTGTTAAGATCCACACCTTGCCCCAAGATGATTTCTGACAAAAGCTGACCATTTGCTGGAAAGTACCAAGACAAATAAAAGGCAGCTAGTATGAAAAGAGTTAATCACAGCAGTAAAAAATTCAACAATCCCCAGCTGCACCCTAAACAGAAACAGAACAGACAGGATAACAAACCAGACATTGATTGAAAAAAATATTAAAATTTAATTCCACCAAGTAAAATCTAGTGAAATGACTGCAAAATATTACAAACAACTCATATTTTATTGCAAACATTTTAATAATATTGTAGATAAGAAAGACAAGTTTGCAGAGCAGGATCAATTTAACCAGAAAATTGCTTACAAAGGAATTGCTCTTGCTCCCACGGGTATCAACAGCATTTTACAGGCAGGCTTCAAAGAAAACCAAATCTGAGCCTTCCAATTGTTACTGTATTTTCACAAAAGTATGTATCTCAAAAAAGCAATAAAGGACAAAAAAAAGTACCTCCACGCTATGCCCTTTAGGTGTTTTCCCATGGAGGATGTCTCTCAGAGTTGCAACAGTCTTCATTATGTACAATTGTAATGTTTTAAAAATAATTATCCCCTTGAATTAGTAACAACCAACATAAAGTAAAACAATATACCCCAAGAAACACTTCATTGTTTAGGCCTCGAAGAAAGGTAGAGTTACACAGTTAAAAACGCCATACAAGGTTCACTCCTACTAAATTTAGGCCAATATTACATTGGAATTTTTACTCTCCTTTGTTGCCTTTTTCAGAATAAAACCATGGCAACATGCTGTTAAAAAGGATGTAACTCTTTCTTATGTAATTAGTTAGTACCTATATTGTGTTTGTTATGTTTCAATATATTTTTGAATATTTACTTAAGGATATTGCTTTAGCAGACATCCTGGTTAAATAACTTTAAATTACATTATTACTGGAATTTCGGACTATGTTAGCTAATTTAAAGTAATTTTTCATAACATCTTTTTATGTTAGTTTTTTCTGAGATCAAACTGTAGAAGCAATTTTGGCTTAAAAGGTGACTCAGTCCCTCTCTTTGCTGAGATAGGAGCAGTAAACTCATAAGATCAGAGAAAACCAAAAACTGCAGTTAGAATCCCAGTCCTAACATAGATGAGAAAAATGTTTAAAATTATTGATCGTATTTGAGCATACACATCAGAATGTAGCAAAACATGAGCCTATGACCTAGCTTTTAAACGACTTCTTTGTATCAACAGTGATAAATTCACCAAGTGCTTTACTATAACCTTAAAGCTTTTAAAATGTTATGGCCAATGCCACTAGCAATAGAGCCAATCACCTTTAGGTAGAGACAAAGCAACTAAACATACTGTAATTACAAAAAATGCATTTCTGTCACAACGGTGATGGTGAATTTCAATTATTATATCCCCTTAAGTTTGCATATATTAAAAAAAGATGGCAAAAGTTATTTAGTCCAATCAGTGTAGTTAGACTTGTAATTCTTAATTGTACATATATATTCTCAAAAAGTAAGAAAACTAAATATTAGTAGCTGATTTACTGCTGTTTTTCAGATTAAGTGAAAGTTTCTGGTCTTGATCACTTTATAGCCTGAAAGAGACTGACCATGCTGGCCTTGCTCTAGCAAAGAAGCAGAAACACACGCTTAATAAAACCCTTGAATTCATTCTATTCCATCACATTTGGCAGATGGCACCTTCCACAACACATTTCTCCTTGTTCTCTGCCAGAACAGGGGAGTACACCACCTACTGAAAAACCACAGGTCTCCCACACAAATCCTGATACCAGAGGGACTACATACATACACTCACATGCTTTTCTAGATGAAACCACAGTGTACTTTGCATGGGCATGTCCTTAGCAATAGAAACTTCCTTGTACCTTCTTGGAAAGTAAGCCCCTGAACTATCTCGTACCATTCTTCAGCACCTGATTCCTGCAATAGTTTCTAATACCCTTCTTATAATTTAATAGATGTTCTTTCACTTTCATTTGAAAATACTGTGTAAAGCAGCAAGTATGGAATGACTGCTGAACTGGCTGCAGTTTCGTACTGTAGCTCAGTAGTCTATATATAGAACAACTATAAAGTGCTTTAAAATTGTGTCACATGAAAGGTGCAAATAAATACCGTGTCCTCTTATGTGATCTCCCTGGAGACACACAGTCCTGGTGAGCCCACACTTGAGGGTATCCTAAAATTGTTACAGCAATTTAATAATGATACTGATTTCTTACACTGGAGAATGCTTCTTTCTCCAATATTTACTGAGGTTAGTGTCTCACAGCATCACAGCCAGCAGGCCTGCTGCTTGCCCTTCATAAGCTGCCTTGCTGGATCCAAACATGCTCATCTGGATGGGTAAAAAAAGGTACAGTGCTACTCTGGGAATCTGCACAAAAATGGTGCCTTTAATGTGCAGAACTTCGGGTTGTTAGTTGATTCCTTCTGATTGCCATTTGCTGAAAAGATGAACTGTCAGCACACTGTGCAGTATCATTTCTCTTTTTGGTTAATAGGCTCAAAATTTCAGGCACTGAGTACAGCACATCCCCATAGTAGAATGCTGACAGGTCTATCAATTGTCAAAATTTTCCAGCCTCTGGATTGTACCATTCAAATAGCTCTAATGAACTTCTGTATAATGCATGTTGCAGCACTGCAGTGCTTATAATCTCCTGTTCCAAAAAGATCTGACTACAAATGGGAAGCATCTTTATTGCTTTTATGTATGAGGAATTGAAGTACCAATAAGTGAGCAAAGTGTGTCAACACAGAGTCGAACCCCAAAATGATTTCATGGATCATACCCCATTGTAGTACACAGAACTCCCCTAAGAACAAGTAGTATTCTATTTCTACAGAGTAATTATTTTATACATTGGGCGTAAATCCTGTTCCCACCAAAATCAAGGCAAAACTCCCACTGAATGAAGTATGATCTGGATTTCACATTATATTTGGAACCAAACTCGAGTACTTTGTTACACATAGCAGAAGTATCAAATAGCCTCACAGCATGCTTGATGACAATTCATTGTCTATTACAATTCTGAATGATAAAAATGCAATATCAAACAGACATTTTTCCTTCTTCAAGTTTTTTCTATTCACATTATTGTGGTTCACAGGACTGCTGTTTTCCTTAACTGTGACTACTACAGACTAAAAAGGGAAAAAGAAATAACAAAGGAAACAGAACACAATAAATCCTATTACCCAGTTGATTGAATAAATGTAGATTATCACCATGTCCATGTCAAACCGCCATCCACGGCTATCATCCTCAAAGTCCATGTAGTCCATCCTGTGAGCAGCATGTGGGAAATGCCTCCTTGTTACAGTATCTGAGCGTCTTTGAAAACCTGCCGAAAAACAGACTAGGAGATAGAAATCTTTACAAAGGCAACCAGACTGAGTTAAAAAAAAAAAAAAAAGAAAAGAAAAAGGTTAACCCTCCTTCCCCTGGTTATTTACAGGACAAACGGAAGCAGGAAATCTCACACTTCACTGCTAGGTTTCCTCATTTTGTAAAACAGGTCTTTGCTGAGTTGCCCAGACTCTTCTCTGCACAGACATCATGGGTTTTGGGGTCTCAAGGTGGGTAGGAAGTGTCTCCTTCAGTGGGCACCCCTGCACACCAGTGTGCCTCAGTGTGCCTTCCTCAGTTTTAATCTATTACCATGCTGTCTTCTAGTCTAGCTTAACTAAGCCTCCTTGAAGTTACCGTCTTCTGTTTTTGACTAACATAAATAATTGTGTATAACTGGTGTTCACATGCCAGTAATTTTCACTTTAACATTCTCAGACCTTATTCAAGATAATTGAGATATATATTTTAAAAAAGTGTCCTCATACAGAACTTTGCTGGAATTTCAGTATTTTCCCTTTTCAGTGGCAGATATTGACTGTTTCTTTGTATTTTTTCTTTGAATTAGTAATTTGCTCAGAACTTTTATAGATCAGTTGTTTCCATGCTTCCAACGGAAAGTATTTTCTCTCTTTGGTATCAGTTTTTAAGATAGTTCATCAGAGACCTTTGGACTCCAAATTACATAGGTAAACTGGTCTTCCTGTATTCCTTTAATGACTGCTTTATTTAGAAATTTGACTATAGACTACTGAGACACATAAATTCTTCCTTTCATCATGATATCATTGCATTTCTTTTTATTTTTTATTTTTAATGAAAATTTGGATGAGTTTGTCATGTACAGATACTAAGTTTCTAGATCTGTATATATCAGAATTTCTCTAACATTATTTACATTATTTTGGAAACTATACATGAAATCTTCATGCTAGTCAAGAGAGTGATGATGTTTTATGATGGTTTTGAGTGACTCCAAGGGGCCTAAGATTTATCCCACAGCTAAATACGCTACACTGACTCTAGGAAAAAAAAAAAAAAGTAAAAAATTCCACCAGTTTACTTTTAAAGAATTTTAGATTATAACACCACAAAATTTTATGGGAGTGCATGAGCTCAACATCTGCGTAAAGATGCTGAAGATCTCTTTAAAGTATGATATGGACTTCCTTGTTCTTGATGTTTTGCTTTAGATTATGTTAATTTAAAATTATGTTGATTTAAAACAGTATCTTTGATTACTGAAAAATAACATTAGTAATTCAGTAACAAAATTCTGAAAAATATTAGTCTTCTTTAAATATCTTTCTGCCAAGATGTAATTTACTTGAAAAATGCTCATTTAAAAGCTTACCTCAATTTCTAACCTGTATTTTTCTTCTTTTCTAAAACTTTTTAAACATTATTGTCAAATAGAAATCTAGGTCTATGTTGTTATGTTCTACTTTTTAAATTTAATTTGCAAATGGCATAAAATTTTATCACTAATGCTATATCATTCACTTTGCCTTTTACACATGAATTTTAGTGTATATTATCCTCTCTGGAGGGTCTCAGTCAAGGCTGCTACCTATGCTTTCTTTTTATTTATTTATACACTTAAAGTAAATATAACATAAAATGCTAGAGGCTGTTTTTGGATCAACAGGGATAAGCGAATTATGCAAACATGTAGCTATATTAGGTTTGACTTGGTAGTAGTCCTCACCTGCTAGAGGATTTGGACAAATATTATCCTTGATTTGTATGTCTGTGCAACTCACCCAAAGCAAACCTGCACTAAGTTTATCACATATTAGATTTTGTAATGTAATCATTCTACATTCAAAACCAGCAGTTTCAGTATAGGAAACTGGCTGTTCTCTAATTACTCTTCCTATAGAAACCCACGGAAAGACTGTTGGTGCTGTATTAAAGGTAGATATACAATCAGGAGATGCTTAGTATACACCATGTGTAATCCCTGTGGCTTCCCTGAGTGTGAGTAAAGCTACTGAAAGTTGACAGCCAGTTATGTTGAAGAGATTTCAATTCCATTGCTGAAATAGTCTGTTTTTAACCATATGAAAATTGGCTAAGCTTCAGCTGAAAATGTCAATTATGTAACTGAATTCTAGGTCTTAACAGAGGCTAACAAAGAATGAGAACCGTTTCTTTTCCCTGAAGTATATTACCAAATAAACTTGCGTACAGTACTGAAACCAAGGATCATATTTAGAAGCCCCGTATGATAATGCACAAAGGTTACTGCAGATTCTATGATCCATACTGTGACTACTGTCTTTAATTAATTCTGCCATGAAAAATACATTCAGATGTCTATCTCTCCAGCTAGAGTGGAAATAAGCCATGTCTCTGCATCTGATTCTAGCCATCTGCAGGTAAAAACAGGGAGCTGTAGAGTTTCTCAAACACTGTACAGCAACAAGGAGTAGGGGTTTGAATTATGAAACAGAAGAGCAGAGCGAGCTTTGAATTGTGTCTAACGTATTTGCTCCTTTTTTAAAAAGAAACCCTACCTTATTTCATGAATACAGTCCCTATATAATTTCTACACGGGCATGTATTTGTTAAGACATATATTTTACTTAACTTTTTTGTGCGTGCATATGTTGCTATACTCTGAACAAGAACTTCCACTCAAATCATATGAATATGCATGCATAGTGCCAGTGGAGTCTGGCAGACTGTTAGTGGAAACCTGTTACTAGATAACAAAAACAATGTTGTGTGCAAATCACACTTTTATACCCACCAAAGCATGCAAATCAAAAAGGATTTTCACCAGAGCATCAATAGGCACAGCTGCTGCGCATGTCCCTGCCAAAGATTTTGCAAGCTCCTGTTGAGGTACGAGCAATACTCAAAATAAGATTACAAACAATTTAAAATATTCTCCCAATTTTATAAATTGACTGACCTCATTTTGCTATGACTAAAGAATATAAGATATGAGATGGAAAATTTTACTGAAAAATGTGCCCAAATGAATACTATGCAAGCTGTAATAACCATTTACATTACAAGTGCTCATGTAAAATTTAATTACCCAAGAACAAGTGTTCTTAGGTAATCAGATGTACCAAGGTCATTTTGACGCAGTCTCTTTCTGATTATGAGCTGCAACAGATAGACAGAGATACTGAAAGACTGCAAGAAAAAAGGCAAGTACAGACTGACACCTTCCCAGATGTGCCCTTGCAACATCCAGCAGCTCAGGACCCCGGTGCTTCAGAAGCTGTGCTCAGAACAATGTGTTAAAACATCACTGATGACAGGATTTTCTTTCCTTACATGTGTCTGCATACTTTTGAACTAGATCTCATAGTGCTGCCACTTACAGCACTTTGTGTCCGTCGGTGGAGTAGTCTTAGAGCAAATAAACTGATTTCCTTTCAGGTGAAACTAAACTAGAAGATGAGCTCCAAGAGCTCTGACATGTTCCAGTAATATGCTTCAACCACTAATGGGCATTCAGCCCTTGGGACTGGAAGTAAGTCACCCCTGTTCCCTAAAATGCAAATGCGGACATCTGGCCCTCAGCGCCAATTGTTTTGCCCTATCTATTATGGCTGATATAACTGCTAATGGAAGAATGCCTCTGAGAGACAGTGAACAATCCTTCCTAAAACATGTTTATGCCATTCAAAATTTTACAGACCTCTTGTATGTGTCTTCTGTAATATCCTTTCAAAAAAAAAAACTTGTAAATTTCCTTTGAATGGAAAATCTTTCGTACTTCAGATCATCCTTTCCCCAATATGCTTCACCCTGCTTTACCCTTCTTTGAGATGATGTAATCTAAAATTATATGCAAAATTGGAGGTGTGGGATCACCACAAATTTAGACAATGACATAATGTTTTCCATTGTATTATCATCCTAATAATTCCTGCTTACCTTTTGACTATGACTGTTCATTGAATGTTTTCAGAAAACTAATCACAGTATTACCCGGATATTTTCCTTAAGTGGCAATAGCTAATTTACAGGTCATCATAGGAAATAATATGTATTATGTATTATTGAAGTTGCATAGTCTCTATGGGCAACTGCTCCACCACTGTCCTCACAGTGAAAGTGTTTTTCTTACTTGCAGTCTGGACCCTCTCACATCCATTATTGCTCATCCTCCTGCCATGCACCACTGTGAACAGCTGGTCTATCCTCTTGTTGGTCTCCTTATAGGTCTGGTAAGGCTGCCTGGAGATCTCTCCAAAGCCTACCCTTCTCCAGACTGAACAAGCCAGTTCCCTCAGCCTCTCCTCACAGGTCAGGTGCCTGAGCATCCTGATGTGCTAAACCTGCTCCAATTTACTGCGGTGTTTCCTATACTGAGGGCAGGGAGGGCAGGGAGCAGAACTGCCGTATTTTGGATATGGTCTGCTGAGTAGCAGGGGATAAAAACTTCCCCCGTCTACTGCTGTTCATACATCATGCTCCTGTTCATAAAGTCCAGGATTCTGTTGGCCGCCTTTGCTGCCAGGGCACACTGCCAGCTCATGCACCGCTTGCTCTCTGTCAGGACACCCGGGTCCTTTCCAGAGAGCTGCTGCTCAGGCTGTCAGTGTCCAACCTGTCTCATTGCCAGGGGCTCTTCCTTCCCAGCTGCAGGACACAGCATTTGTTCTTGTTGAATTTCACAAAGTTCCTTTCAGCACATTTCTCCAGCCTGTCTTCGTCTACCTGATCGGCAGCCCTGACACTGCGTCTATCAATCTGTCCTCCAATTTGGCCTCTGCAGACCTGATGAGAGCGCATTCTGTTGCCTCCTGAAGGCTGCTGATCAAGAGAACTGTTAGCTGTCAAGTTCATATTTACTATCGTCAGTGAATCCAGTAATTTAGTATCACTAATAAATTTTATCAGCTGTATATCTATCACTTTTCCAAATCACATATGAATGTTCTGAACTACACAGACTGCTGTGGGATTC